AAAATATCGTGATAAGACGACTAAGCCGATTATATTTGCGCAGTCACAAATTGAGCCAAAAAAAAAATCTTTCAAGTTTTAAGCCCCTCATGAAGCCCCTCGTGATCAGACAACTAAGCCGACAATCTTTGAGCAGACAAGTTGAGCAAAAAAAATTGATTTTAAACACATAGTTTAAAATTTTAGCCCCTCACGAAGCTACAAGAAAGATACTTGTACTTGTAAGTTCAAAGAAAGTTGCTTACAGAACAAAAAATATCGTGATAAGACAACTAAGCCGATTATATTTGCGCAGACACAAGTTGAGCTGAAAAAAAATTGATTTCAAAAAATTTTTCAAGTTTTAAGCCCCTCATGAAGCTACAATAAACAACACTTGGACTTGTTAATTCGAAGAAAGTTGCTTACAGAACAAAAAATATCGTGATAAGACGACTAAGCCGATTATATTTGCGCAGACACAAGTTGAGCCAAAAAAAAAATCTTTCAAGTTTTAAGCCCCTCATGAAGCCCCTCGTGATCAGACAACTAGGCCGACAATCTTTGAGCAGACAAGTTGAGCAAAAAAAATTGATTTTAAACACATAGTTTAAAATTTTAGCCCCTCACGAAGCTACAAGAAAGATACTTGTACTTGTAAGTTCAAAGAAAGTTGCTTACAGAACAAAAAATATCGTGATAAGACAACTAAGCCGATTATATTTGCGCAGACACAAGTTGAGCTGAAAAAAATTGATTTCAAAAAATTTTTCAAGTTTTAAGCCCCTCATGAAGCTACAATAAACAACACTTGCACTTGTTAATTCAAAGAAAGTTGCTTACAGAACAAAAAATATCGTGATAAGACGACTAAGCCGATTATATTTGCGCAGTCACAAATTGAGCCAAAAAAAAATCTTTCAAGTTTTAAGCCCCTCATGAAGCCCCTCGTGATCAGACAACTAAGCCGACAATCTTTGAGCAGACAAGTTGAGCAAAAAAAATCGATTTTAAACACATAGTTTAAAATTTTAGCCCCTCACGAAGCTACAAGAAAGATACTTGTAAGTTCAAAGAAAGTTGCTTACAGAACAAAAAATATCGTGATAAGACAACTAAGCCGATTATATTTGCGCAGACACAAGTTGAGCTGAAAAAAATTGATTTAAAAAAATCTTTCAAGTTTTAAGCCCCTCATGAAGCTACAATAAACAACACTTGCACTTGTTAATTCAAAGAAAGTTGCTTACAGAACAAAAAATATCGTGATAAGACGACTAAGCCGATTATATTTGCGCAGTCACAAATTGAGCCAAAAAAAAATCTTTCAAGTTTTAAGCCCCTCATGAAGCCCCTCGTGATCAGACAACTAAGCCGACAATCTTTGAGCAGACAAGTTGAGCAAAAAAAATCGATTTTAAACACATAGTTTAAAATTTTAGCCCCTCACGAAGCTACAAGAAAGATACTTGTACTTGTAAGTTCAAAGAAAGTTGCTTACAGAACAAAAAATATCGTGATAAGACAACTAAGCCGATTATATTTGCGCAGACACAAGTTGAGCTGAAAAAAATTGATTTAAAAAAATCTTTCAAGTTTTAAGCCCCTCATGAAGCTACAAGAAACAACACTTGCACTTATTAATTCAAAGAAAGTTGCTTACAGAACAAAAAATATCGTGATAAGACAACTAAGCCGATTATATTTGCGCAGACACAAGTTGAGCTGAAAAAAATTGGTTTAAAAAAATCTTTCAAGTTTTAAGCCCCTCATGAAGCTACAATAAACGACACTTGCACTTGTTAATTCAAAGAAAGTTGCTTACAGAACAAAAAATATCGTGATAAGACGACTACGCCGATTATATTTGCGCAGTCACAAATTGAGCCAAAAAAAAATCTTTCAAGTTTTAAGCCCCTCAAGAAGCCCCTCGTGATCAGACAACTAAGCCGACAATCTTTGAGCAGACAAGTTGAGCAAAAAAAATTGATTTTAAACAAATAGTTTAAAATTTTAGCCCCTCACGAAGCTACAAGAAAGATACTTGTACTTGTAAGTTCAAAGAAAGTTGCTTACAGAACAAAAAATATCGTGATAAGACAACTAAGCCGATTATATTTGCGCAGACACAAGTTGAGCTGAAAAAAATTGATTTCAAAAAATTTTTCAAGTTTTAAGCCCCTCATGAAGCTACAATAAACAACACTTGCACTTGTTAATTCAAAGAAAGTTGCTTACAGAACAAAAAATATCGGGATAAGACGACTAAGCCGATTATATTTGCGCAGACACAAGTTGAGCCAAAAAAAAATCTTTCAAGTTTTAAGCCCCTCATGAAGCCCCTCGTGATCAGACAACTAGGCCGACAATCTTTGAGCAGACAAGTTGAGCAAAAAAAATTGATTTTAAACACATAGTTTAGAATTTTAGCCCCTCACGAAGCTACAAGAAAGATACTTGTACTTGTAAGTTCAAAGAAAGTTGCTTACAGAACAAAAAATATCGTGATAAGACAACTAAGCCGATTATATTTGCGCAGACACAAGTTGAGCTGAAAAAAATTGATTTAAAAAAATCGTTCAATTTTTAAGTCCCTCATGAAGCTACAATAAACAACACTTGCACTTGTTAATTCAAAGAAAGTTGCTTACAGAACAAAAAATATCGTGATAAGACGACTAAGCCGATTATATTTGCGCAGTCACAAATTGAGCCAAAAAAAATCCTTCAAGTTTTAAGCCCCTCATGAAGCCCCTCGTGATCAGACAACTAAGCCGACGATCTTTGAGCAGACAAGTTGAGCAAAAAAAATCGATTTTAAACACATAGTTTAAAATTTTAGCCCCTCACGAAGCTACAAGAAACAACACTTGCACTTGTTAATTCAAAGAAAGTTGCTTACAGAGTTGCAAGAAACAACACTTGCACTTGTTAATTCAAAGAAAGTTGCTTACAGAACAAAAAAAATCGTGATAGGACGACTAAGCCGATTATATTTGCGCAGACACAAGTTGAGCTGAAAAAAAAAAGATTTAAAAAAATCTCTCAAGTTTTAAGCCCCTCATGAAGCTACAAGAAACAACACTTGCACTTATTAATTCAAAGAAAGTTGCTTACAGAACAAAAAATATCGTGATAAGACAACTAAGCCGATTATATTTGCGCAGACACAAGTTGAGCTGAAAAAAATTGGTTTAAAAAAATCTTTCAAGTTTTAAGCCCCTCATGAAGCTACAATAAACGACACTTGCACTTGTTAATTCAAAGAAAGTTGCTTACAGAACAAAAAATATCGTGATAAGACGACTAAGCCGATTATATTTGCGCAGTCACAAATTGAGCCAAAAAAAAATCTTTCAAGTTTTAAGCCCCTCATGAAGCCCCTCGTGATCAGACAACTAAGCCGACAATCTTTGAGCAGACAAGTTGAGCAAAAAAAAATTGATTTTAAACACATAGTTTAAAATTTTAGCCCCTCACGAAGCTACAAGAAACAACACTTGCACTTGTTAATTCAAAGAAAGTTGCTTACAGAGTTGCAAGAAACAACACTTGCACTTGTTAATTCAAAGAAAGTTGCTTACAGAACAAAAAAAATCGTGATAGGACGACTAAGCCGATTATATTTGCGCAGACACAAGTTGAGCTGAAAAAAAAAAGATTTAAAAAAATCTCTCAAGTTTTAAGCCCCTCATGAAGCTACAAGAAACAACACTTGCACTTGTTAATTCAAAGAAAGTTGCTTACAGAACAAAAAAAATCGTGATAGGACGACTAAGCCGATTATATTTGCGCAGACACAAGTTGAGCTGAAAAAAAAAAGATTTAAAAAAATCTCTCAAGTTTTAAGCCCCTCATGAAGCTACAATAAACGACACTTGCACTTGTTAATTCAAAGAAAGTTGCTTACAGAACAAAAAATATCGTGATAAGACGACTAAGCCGATTATATTTGCGCAGTCACAAATTGAGCCAAAAAAAAATCTTTCAAGTTTTAAGCCCCTCATGAAGCCCCTCGTGATCAGACAACTAAGCCGACAATCTTTGAGCAGACAAGTTGAGCAAAAAAAAATTGATTTTAAACACATAGTTTAAAATTTTAGCCCCTCACGAAGCTACAAGAAAGATACTTGTACTTGTAAGTTCAAAGAAAGTTGCTTACAGAACAAAAAATATCGTGATAAGACAACTAAGCCGATTATATTTGCGCAGACACAAGTTGAGCTGAAAAAAATTGATTTCAAAAAATTTTTCAAGTTTTAAGCCCCTCATGAAGCTACAATAAACAACACTTGCACTTGTTAATTCAAAGAAAGTTGCTTACAGAACAAAAAATATCGTGATAAGACGACTAAGCCGATTATATTTGCGCAGACACAAGTTGAGCCAAAAAAAAATCTTTCAAGTTTTAAGCCCCTCATGAAGCCCCTCGTGATCAGACAACTAAGCCGACAATCTTTGAGCAGACAAGTTGAGCAAAAAAAATCGATTTTAAACACATAGTTTAAAATTTTAGCCCCTCACGAAGCTACAAGAAACATAATTGTACTTGTAAGTTCAAAGAAAGTTGCTTACAGAACAAAAAATATCGTGATAAGACAACTAAGCCGATCATATTTGCGCAGACACAAATTGAGCCGGAAAAAAAATGATTTAAAAACAATCTTTCAAGTTTTAAGCCCCTCATGAAGCTATAAGAAACAACACTTGCACTTGTTAATTCAAAGAAAGTTGCTTACAGAACAAAAAAATCGTGATAAGACAACTAAGCCGACAATCTTAGCCGAGCCCAGCTTTTGAATTAAAATTATAGTGATTTGTGCACAAAATATGTTGACATAAAAAGCAAAACGCCATGAAGCCAAAAATTTCCGAGTGAAAAAAGGGAAATAACAAAACAATGAACGCTGAAAATTAAAATATGTCCAATTAAAATTAAACATTACGTATTTGAGCATAGGATCCTAACAGAACAATGGGTAATAATATCTCAATAATATGGATTTAAATTAGAATCTTACTTCTGTACTGATAGTTCCAAGGAACACCATAGTTCCGAGTAGACCAACAGCCCCCTTTTTCCAGTGTCGCTTGGCAGAGTCCACAGCAGAGGTCGCGGAAGTTTCTGATCCAACTGAGTCACGCCTCACAGTTGAACGCGGCTCACGGCTTCTAGAAATCAAACAGAAAAAAATATATTTTATTTGTTTCAAATCAAACTTTTAGAAAATTACTTTGTTTGCTTCGATTAGAAAAAAAAAGTAAATTGAGTACAACCACGACGAAAAAATATTATTGCCAATTGTCACTTAAATAAATTCGACCAAACTTACTACAGCACAAGAATCGCCGGTTACCGTGCAAGTAGCCCAGAATTTTCCGACCATAGTCTTAAAAAACAACAATGTTTTCAAAGTAGTGGCGTTCTTTTTGTGTAGCGTGATAAAAAAGATTTGAACGAATATTTAGAGCTTAGGCATATTCAACAGGCATAGTAAAATAAGCATATTGGACAAAACTTTTTGTAGAGAAATGAAAAGTAAAACAAAAAGAAAATCAAAAAGATTTTAATTTTTTTGCTGATATTACAAAAATATCTGATTCCTAAAATGACGTACTAACTTCAAAAACTAGATTTACTTGAGTAAGTTTTAAAAAGTTTAAAAAACACTGAGAAAACTTTTTCGAAATATTTTAATGTTCAAATCGCAACTCAAAGGGTTTTAATATGATATTTCCACTCGACCCATTCCGATGATTGTTTTGGTACCTAATTTTAAGTGGAAAAAAATTCGAATACAAAGTTTTTTCCAGTTTTTCAAATGGTCAGAACAACAAACAAGATCAAGACACTGTGACTCGACTCACGGAATCAAAAGATTAGTGTCCTGGAGCATCTCGTTATCATCCGAATCCAATTCCACCCGTAGCGTCGCAGAAGATGCGTTGCCAGTAGCAGCGGCCGCACTACCATCGCTGCTACCAACACCATTCGCCCCTGCCGATTGAGCACTCGGCTGTTTACCACTCGGCATTTGTATCTGAAACGGACAAAAGCCGAATAAACTTGAATGACTGCCTTCAACTAACCCGAGAATCAAATTACCCGCAACAAAAAAGAGTGCAGCTCAGCGCTGATTAGTCTAGCTGGTTTTTCTCAGATTAAAATTGACCAATCAGGGTTCAGATTTATTAATAAAACTTTTGTTTCCGGCAAGTTAAATTTGGGTTAAGTTCAACTAACACTGCATCAAGAAAACTGTCAGCTGATCTATCAATACATTTTGAATTCAAGAACTCCAGGAGTATTTAGAGAAATATAATTTGATCATAAGTATATCACACACAGATTATCTTAGAAAACAAAACCACGCTAATGAAAAAAAATGATGTTGAAAGTAAAAAGAAACACACAGCTGTATAATTTATTTAACAATCACTAATCTGTCCCAACAATCCCAGCGGGGGCCTAGGAAATTAAACGACAAGCAAATTAGACGACCGATAAAAAACGCGAACTTAGACGATAAATCTAAGTGAATTTAGACGATAAGAATTGGGCTAACAAAACTTTTTTAGAATTAAGTTGCACAAAAACAAAAAGAGTCTATGTACCAGAGGGGCGGGGATTGGACGCCCTCTCTCAGTAATTCGACCCTCTGCCAACCCTTTGTACTATTTTGAGATATCCATTTTTGGTGATGGACCCTAAAATTTTTCCAAAGGCGCCAATATATACTAATTTTGAGGGGGGAGCGCGCGCCAAAAAAACGCAATTTTTCGGTCAAAGTTTTCCAAAACTTACCTTTTCGGCCTGTTTTTTCAAAACTTTGGTCAGAATGGGGTTTTATAGTGATTTAAAAGAGCTCAGAAAATCAATTTACCTATAAAAAACGACAAAATTGTCAAAATTTTTCTGAAAATCCCCCCCATCGAGAAGATCCCAGATCCACCCCTGTTGAGTACTTCATTTGTGTTTGGGCAACCAGTATTTACTCAGCGAGTAGTTAATTTATGTGTCAACGAATTTCACGAAATTTGCACGCAAGTTGTTATCGTCTAAATTCCGTTATTTTATGATTGTCTAATTTGCTTGTCGTCTTATTTCCTAAACGCCATCCCAGAGCATAAATGCAAAGAAAAACTTATCCTGAGATTTGGATATGAGTTAATGATTTGGAGAGATTGGTCAACAATATCTATCAGAAAATCGGGTAAAAATTAACGATAGAACAAGCGCAGCTTCAAGGGTGAAATGAAAATTTTAATAAACACTCAGTTTAACGATCAAATACAAGAACTGTGAATAAAACACTTTTTACAAACGGCGCTGATGTGAAAAAGAAATTGAAGTTAAAAGGTTACAGCTCTAAATTTTAATCAGAAATTGAGAAGTTTGGGGTGTGGGTAATATGCATATGACCGCATATAGACTTGACACAAAATTGTTGGACCTTACAGTCTGCAAACTCTTTCATTGAAATGGGAGTATTTACATTCAGGGAATTCAAATCAGCGGCTCATCACGTAACAAAGCACAGCCAATATAGCGACAAAAAGGCTAATAATGAACTCATAAATTTTGGAAGGATTTAAAAATGAAATTGGCAAAGGAAAAACGCAAGACTTGAATAAATGTAATAACCTAATTCGATCCTTAAAACATAAAAACAGCAACTATTTATCACAACGATTCGTTATGGCTGTTTGTTTTCAAGAACCTGTAATCTTTAGAAAAAATTTGAACCTGTTATTGGTTGACAAACTACAAACATTTAAATACTCGATTTATCCAGAGTCATGGTTTTTAGATTTATTTTACTAACTCTGTTATCAATGACTAAAAACAACCAATCCCTGCCTTGGGGGTTTTATTCAATCTTATTATTATTACTATTATTATTATTATTGGGTAAATTGCTGAAGTTTGAAGCCCGCTAACTATATGCAATACAAATACGATGCTTTTTTACACAACTAAAAATTATGCAGTCCAATATATTTGCAACATAGGCGACCCAAAATTGATTTCAAACAGTGAAAAAGTCCTTTGTTTTTTTTCAAATCATTGATTTTGTGTAAAATTACTTCGTATGTAGTTATTGCGCAATTCGCAACCCACAAACACAGATCAGTAAGTCAAGATCTGAAAATAGAGATGTCCATTTTGCCCAAAATGTGCAAACAGAGTTTGCTGTATCGAGCAAGAGGAAGAAATTTATTGGTTCAACATTCAAAATACAGAGCATTATGTTAGTGGTGTATTACAGCGCTAATTTGTCCGCTTTGAACATAGGAAACAGTTGATGCCTTTTGGGTGAGTCCCATCACAAGAAGATGAATAGAGAAAAGAGTTCTTGCCATCGTTGAAGAGATAGGCACAGAGATACGTAAAGTTACCACTGGGTTCCTTTGGCGCCCAATAGTTGGTCAGAGAGACGACTATGTTGTCGGGCGATTTCCAGTCTGCTCCGTTGTTCTGCCTGGATGCTCCGATGAAGCAGTGTCCTTTTTTGGAAGCGGCAACACTCATTGCGATGAACTGTTCCTTGTTGAAGGGCGAGGCAAGCGTCCCATTTACTGCAAACATCAACGAAAACTATCAATTAGTAGACGAAAAGAAGTTCCAGGACAACAGGCCGACGTGACTTAAAGCTGAAGGGATATCAAGCCGAAATTTTATATTTTACAAGCACCTCAAAACGCAAAACTTACATCAATATAAAGCTTATTCACAAAAACATTAGGCAAGCCTATTCCATAATAAGCATTCTTCCTAACAATGCACTACTTAAGAGTGACATCAGATAGTAAGACCAGTCGGATTGTGAAATGCATAAATTATACACATGAAAAATCCCTTCAACAATGTTTAAATTTTTAATATTCCTAAACATAATTTAGAGGCTCACAGTATATTAAAAAAGCCCATAGCTTGTAAAGAAAGCTCATGGAGTAGAGAAAATTTTCAAATTAGCTTTCAAATAAAAATATATTTTGTGACTGGATCTTGGTAACTCTTCCCCCCCCCCCTATGGTGCCTTGTAACGAATCTCCCCCTATAAAGAAAGAATTGAACAGCTAAGCATATACGCATTTTGTGACTTGTTAACTATTTCCCCCCTATAGCAATAAAGGAGGGGGGGGGATAGTTAACAAAATCTTTGTGATTTTTTGACAAAATGTTCGGCTTGAAGTACCTAATTTTACGATTCGGCTTGAAGTCCCGTCGGCTTGATGTCCGGCACCCATGAAAAAAAAACTATTGATGAAAGCTCTTAATTTTTAACCGCTGAGATGGTGCGGTCCCTCATTTATTTTCAGCCAATCAGAAATCAGTATTCCAAAAAAAATTTAATGAGACCGCGAAAACCTCAAAGAAAAAAAAATAAAAGCCATCCAGGTCATTAAAATTAACATCCAGACCATTAAAACTAAAATTGACCGATTAGAAAATAAGAGAACACAATAATTTTCAAATTTTGCAAATCGAAGGATATTGGAAAGAACCTAAAATCAATTTTAAGAAACTGAAAGATAAAAAAGCATTGTAGATCTGCACAAATTGTTCAGCAAAACTTTGCTGAGAACTTTGCTGTATTGCTATATTAACTTTTCTCTTAGTAAGGATTTAATTTTTGCGCAAGGTCGTTCAGCCAACAGAAATAACTAACAATTCTGATTGTTTAAAAGCTTTTCTTCGTTCAGTACCTCCATCATGAGAATACCCCCGCTGAAATGATTACAGATGAGTCCTTCAGAGAACCCAAACATAAGAATAGCTCAAAACTTTGATTTAATTTTTTAAGCAATATTTTTGATTCATGTTCACCATTCTAGACTCTATTTTTAACAAGAATAGCCGGTTGCTGCGCATGTAGTACATACTGTTCCAATCAAATGGATTTAAGAAAAAAAGATTTAAGATTTTTTTTTTTGCAATTTTGTTGTCTGAACTTGTATTTTTTTTTAAAAAAGTGATCGAATTCTGAGAAAAAACTTAAAAAAACGTTGAAAATAGTCTTACATTTCGAGCAAAATTAAAACTAGTAGGTCAGCCTCTCATCAAACTTCGTCTAATTAATCTGAAAATCGAAAATATTCCGAGGAGTTCTTTTAGAACACGACCAATAAGGCTTTCATATGCTAGCACACTTGAACTGCTATGAGCTTTTCTTGAGGTAGTCAAAAATGGTTGTAAGAAATTTAAAAACGGACCCCAATCCATAGCTCCTTTTCAATCTGTTTGAGTGGTCGAAACAAAAAGCAACCTAGCTAGAACTTAGAACTCTATTTTAATGCAGAGCTTTTTAAATGTAAAGGGTAGTGAAATTGTGTAATGGGTTATAAAATCATATGAAATTTATAAATAATTATGAAAGTATATAATACTAACCACTCATAGTAAAAACTAAATTTATCTCAAAAAGCATGAAAATGAAGTTGTTAAAAATAAATAAAATACTGAATTAGAATAAAACACTTGAGAACAAGATGTGAAAGAAAAGAAATTGTAAGTGCATGCTTCCAAATTTTTAAAGAATTGTTCACGAAAGCGTTTTAATGTGGAATCTCTTATGCGCCAAGGATCGAATAAGGGGAAAAATCAGCCAATAGGAACAGAGTGATCAAAAATTGGAAAGCGTGAAAAAGTAAAAGAACGAAAAATTTCCAGACTGTTAAATTTTTTACTGGTCAAAACAAAATCAAAACGGCAAAAATGTGAAAACTGGTATTGCAACACTTAATCGATACATGAAAAATACATACCAAAATTTTAATATTTAAATTGGTTGTTTTTTAAGAAAACAGTTTGAAAGAGTAATACCTTACACAGTTAAGTTGAAGAAAAGTTAACGTATTCGGATTGTTGAAATTTTGTGCGCAAGCAGCCCCTTGCACATGAGAATAACCCCGCGTTTTACAAAACTCAAATTGAAGTGTTTGTATTTTGAATAAAACATATTTCAATCCTAGTATTGATTTCCGTAGTCGCGTTCAGACAAGTCGGCCACTAACAATTATCTATTTTAAAATTCAAATTCAGCGATAATGAGAAACATAAGTCGGCCAAAGATTATTTTGACAATTTAACTTCGTAAAACGTGCGCGCAAAAACTTTTTACATCCGGCAAAATTTTCATTAGATAGTTTGCAATCAATTCCTTTTATATGCAAAAAATTGAAAAAAATTGACAGAAACAAAGTACCTCATCATTATATTTAAAGTCTGTTCAAATTCTTAGAATAGTAGCTAAATAACAAAAAAACTCTACAAAAACTCATGAATGCAGACCTTGAGACTTTTACAGACGGTCAAAATGGTTATCAGTTGAAGGATTGACCACACTACCATGTACTGGCAACACCTTAAGCGAGGGAGGATGCAACCGGCCATCAGGTAATTTGGGTGTCCACATATCGTAAAACGAAATTGAAACTGTATATCCCAAAAAATTATGCATAGAAAACTATTTTTAAAATTTTTGGTCTTCGAAAGTTGTTCTTTGATGTTTCACATTTCTTTTTTAAATGTTGAAAACCTTCTGACCCTAACCATATAAGAAATATTTAAAATTTTCTTTTGATCTTGATTGTATTTTAGCTGTATTGTCTGTATTTGAAATTGTCTGAAAAATATTTGGGGAATTACTGTATTTTGTATTTGAGTGTGATTTGTTTTTTTTAACTTAGACTTTTCCAAGCAAAATCTGGTACCACAAATAATCATCCGATTGAGTCGAGTGATATATCAAAAGCCTTTACATTAGCTTAATTTTGCATTATTAAAGCCTTGAAAACTTTAGTTTTGCCCGAGTAAATTTAGTTTTTGGAGTTTTAAGCGCCATCTTAGGAATCAAAAACTCGAAGTTTTTAAATTGTTTCCCCGTTTTTCTAGTAATTTCTCTGCAAAAACTTGTTTTCATTCTTGTCAGTTTTGCTATATCTGTCGAAAACGCCTAAATTATACTTTTTTGTTCAGATCCTTTTATCACGCCGCGCAGAAAAACGCCACTAATTTGAAAAACAACTTGTTTGGTATTTTTAAGACTATGGTCGGAACATTCTGTGTTCTTTGCACAGTAACCGGCTAACCTTGTTTACGGGTTTGGAAATGTATCATGATTAGTTAGTATAACGTACTTCACCATTTCATAATGCAATATAAAAGATATGAGAAGCTACAAGTTGAAAAAAGGAAGGTCCAAATGAGGCTGCAATGAGCCAACATTTGTAAGACCAACAAAGAGAGACTGACGCAATTTGCAGAACTGATTGTAGTCTCCCCACTGGTGGTCCGAGTGAGATTTCCCCGCCGAGAACTGGAACCCCTCCACTGGGGGTCCGAAGTCCATGGCACCCGAGTCCAACACGAATGCATTCCACACTGAATATACAAAAGGAATGGTTAAAGTCTTCTTTCTGAACCACCCACCCCCCCCCCCCCCCCCCCCCCAGCAGATTGATATTAAATTAAAACTAAATTGAAAACTAATTGTGCGAAAATAATTTGTCATTTGGCTTCAAGTTGGGTAATTTTTCGACCAATAAGAATGCAGCAAAAATAGAACTCTCAACAGAAAGCTCTGGTGCTAACTTACTGATTGTATTTAAAGGGGTAAAGATTCTTTAATGAATACTATAGGGGGTGATAGTTAGGTTGATTCTTATTTTTTGCTTAATTTTTGATTAAATCTATAAAATGATCAGAATCCTGAAAGTCACTGCAAATTTTAAAAACTGTTTCCCATACTATATTTCGATACTTTAATTATGAACTATCTCCAATTTTGAAAAACATAGGGCTCTTTTCCAGTTTCCCACCCCCCTCGGAAAATTACAAAATTAAGCTGTTTAAAATTGTTCACACGGCATTTTGCATGTAAGAAAAGTTGTAAAGATTTGTTCACCTGTTCACGCTTTAATGCAGTTTATATTGAGAAAAGTCATTTAAAATTGATTTCCGTATATTGAATTTCAGAAAAAAAACAAAGGGGGGGGGGAACTGGAAAAGAGCTAAACATAGCAAACTGACAGTTGGAAAAGAGTAATGAACGCAAGAAAACTGAAAAAAAATCAACTTGTTTTTTCAAAAGTCCTCAACTTATGAATTTCGAAGAAAAAAACAGAAGGCCTTAAATTAACCGTAGAACAATTAATGATGGACACTTTTTTTGTTAAACTGAACCCAATTTGAGAAAACTGGATCAATAGGTAAAACTTTTATTTCGCTGGGAAATCTGATAATTAATTTCCATTTTCGAAACTAGAAGTCGATCAAGTTTTTGTTTGATTTTTACAATTTTGCTGTTCGAGAGTGGAGTTTGCCTTCCTTTCAACAATAGAAATGCACTGAACTTACAAAAATCACAATTCAAGCAGCGAAAAATCAAATTTGAGCATGAACAAATTTTAAGACTTTTTCCAGGAAAAAAAAACAAAAAAGAATCTGCAAGACCTATACGAGAGTACTCACTGCGGCCATTACTCTTAATGCATGCGATGGTTCTGGCTTGAATGCGATGGTTCTGACGCAACAAAAAAGACGTTATCAAACGCAAGCAGATGGTTGATGAGTTCATAGTATGCAATCAATTGACCGACTGAAAATTATTTTATATCAGTGTCGAGAAAATTTTTTGAAAAGAAAAATTAAAAAAGTTTAGAGAATTTTTGATCGGGCGACCATTGCCTCGAGGAAAGCAAGTTACCAGGGTTGGTGATCTAGCCTTGTATCTGAATACCAAAAAGTGATCTCTGCAGCTCTTTAATAATGTTTGCAATAGTATTTTTCTTTCATTTAAGACAAAAAAAGGCTTTAGACGCATCCAGTTTTATTGACTTTCAATTCTGAAACTAATTTTTGAGTTTTGATATTGTAAACTTTGGTGTTGCACATTCGTTCGAGAATCTGGCTTACGATTTCATCTAATTCAAACTATTTCCAAGTGGTTATAAACGTCTCAAAAGCCTCCAACGCGAGAATGGGGAGGGGGGAGCGGAAGTTTGCTCAATTGATCCAGATTGTATAAACAACTCTTTCGTCGAGGAAAATCATATTTCAGTTTTTATTTTTAAGGTCCATTTACTGCTACGATCACTCGCGTTTAGGAGATCACTTTGGTTTCCGATGTTTTTTTCATGTAACCTCACGTTGTACTAAGAAGCGAAATAAGATCGCGCTGTACCTGATAGTAGAACCAAAGTTTCAAAAAATTTTGCAATGGTTATAAACTTCCAACATTAGTCAGATTTAGGAAAAAAAGATTAGATCGCAACTAAGATTGACTTTCGATACATAACTATAAGGCAGAACAGCTCTACTCATAGGCTTCCTATAGTCACAAACTTAGACTGAGAGATTCTAGATACAGAATCTCTATCTCAGCATATTGCAAAAAAAGACACAAGTCAATCAAATCAAGCTAAATAAACTGGTCGAATTTAAGCGGATAATATTTCTGAAATTCAATTTCAAGAAATCGTTATTCAATTTCTGAAATACAATTGGGCAATTTGTGTCGTCTTAAGTCCCATCCAAGAAGCGTTTGTCGTCTTAAAAGCTGTCGTCTTATTGACCGGACACCAAGCAAGATACAAAAGCAACCGATCGGAGACCGACCTTTTACCAGACCGACCTCTTACCAGAAAAGTTATAAAATGGAAATTTCACCAGACTTGATAAACAAATTTGATTGATAGACGAAGCCATTTAGGGTAACTTCCCAAATAGGATAATTCTCAAATGGCAGGAAAACAAATTATTTCCCAAATGGCAAAACCGATTTCAGAAAATGTGTGAAAACTTTGAGGCGTGAAAAAATTAGATCTTTTCAGACAATTTTTACGCCTTATTTTGTTCACTTGTCAACAAAATACTAATCACTCATCAACATTTAATTCGAGCAGAACTATCAGCTTCTAAAAATTAGCCAAACTGAAAATTTTAATAAGGGACGGGGTTGCAATTAAAAGAGAGGGGGGGTGGGTTGCAATACGGCTTTAGGATCATTTCAACTATTGAAATGGATACCTTGTTGACTCATCCAACTTCACATACCCCTATAGAGTATAAATGCTTTAAATAACTCACTTTTAAATCTAAAATTTTTTCGAAAGTTTGCAAAATCCATTCAAGTCAGTTGCCCAAGGTTACAAAAACTTGAACCAGTGTTAGAAGTCTCCCCTCATTCAGAAATCTAAAATCGACACTATCGCCATCGATACACAATGATGCCGAAAATCCCTAGAAATGACGAATCCTTAAATTTCGAGATGAATGGGCAGAAACGCAGAACGGAAAAACGTTTTGTTAAAAATCGACAGAGAGTGAGGTATTGCCAGTTTTTTTTTGATTGGCAATTTCGAAATGTAGAACAATTTTTTCCGAGGAATTTTCAAAATTTTCACTGAAATTTTTTAAAGTTATTTTAGGAGTATTTGGAGAATCAAACATTCCCTCGGTTTGATGTTTGCTTCAAAATAAAACGACAGGATTATACCAACGAATGCTACAGATAGTATCAAGAAAACTTCAAAGAATGGACATGCGACTTTAAATGAAAAAAATTATCTGCGAATTCGAGCTAGGGTTCAAGGTGAGATACAATATTTCTGTAACTTCTAACATAGACATGATCACTTTTTAAGACCACCATGGTACTTCCACTAGAGACGTTTCTGGGGAATGTCGATCAAGTTGGTGCCGAGGTAAAGAGGGCCTGGCCATTGACTTTACCTGTACCTAGTGCCTGTAAATTCTATGACCAGGCACTCTTCGCCCCAGCATCAACTTGACCGAGATCCCCCCGAAACGTCTCTGATTCCTATGATCCGAGTTCGAGGATGTTATTTTCATGTCTCCAAAGCAATTTAGTCAAAAATTAGGAATTCGGGATTATTTACACCTACGATATAACAATGATAGAAGACTGAACCATTCTATTCGAAAGTCCATTGCATTAGGTTATCTACCAGTGTTATATGTCAGCCAAAAATTTTATGAGTTACTCCATGAAACGTCAACAAAATTACTGCTTTCACGAATTACAAATCTTAGTTTCTTTTAAAACTATTTTGAGGCAACTTGGTCACATCAACTTCCACAAAAAATCTGCAACATTTATGCCAAGCAGAACACTCTGAGAACAAAAAATGCTTGAAAAGGCTACAACAATCGGCTGAATAAACGAATAGGCTGTCGAATTCGCTCAAATTTTTGGGTGTTTGTTCAAACTTTACAAAATGAAGAAAACTGGGCAAGAAGATCAAACAGGCATTTCCAAATGGGTTACCAAGCTGATGTTCCTCAACGAAAAAAATGGAGAAACCTAAATGCAATGATTTGCAACGTGAAAGAGAGATTCGAAGCCCAATGGCTTGATATCGACGAATATTGCGATAGTATTTCCCAAATCTGCGAAAGCTAGTAAAAAGCAAACCAATTTAATTCGTTATTTCTGTTGAATATTCCGGTTAGATTATTTTGAAGTTAATTTGAATTCATTGCCACTTTTCAAAAGTTAGACTATTTATGCTATTTGGGAAATTAAAAATTTTTATGCCATTTGGGAATCTTTTGGAAATTTATGCCATTTGGGGATTTTTAAAATTTTATGCCATTTGGGAATTATGCCATTTGAGCCGTAAAACCGTTTAGTTGGTCAAAGACAATGATTTCTCGGTTTCTCAGCGAAGTTTTGTTTGTTTTAACTGCTCTCTTTTCGAATCTTCCACAAATTTAAACTTTATTGAACTATAGGATTGTGGTCTGGCAAAAGACCTAGCCACAACCAATCGGCTCTAAAACCATTACGCATGCAAAGTTGAATTTGATGTCATCAAAATAATTATTACTGTCTGAACAAAATAAAAATTCTTAAAGATTGCGTCTAGCGCATGAATGTTTAATGTGCACCACTTTGCTCAGAAATTAATCAATCCAAAATATTGTTTAAACACCTGCCACTGATCCTGATGCATTACCCGAATACTTATGTAATATATTGACCAAAGAAGCAGAAAAGCTCATTTGTTTATAAAATGGCAAATATTAGAGAACTGCGAACTACCTTCGTTTATTGATTATAACTATGTATTCTGCTAGATATAAATAATTCGAGCCTTTGTTAATGAGGTTCGAGTTCAGAGTAGTTTTGAATCAAGCTAACTCCCTACATCGTAAATACACCGCAAGTGCCTCCATTCAAATGGTTAATTTGGATTGAAATTGTTTATCACGCAAAAAATAAGAGATTATTACAACTCATGAAAATTAACAAAAAACATCTTCGATGTTCATCCAAGATGGGATTTTTTCTATTAATATCAGTTGTGTAAATAGTGATCCAGTCTGTTTCCTTCTTGAGTCTGACTAGTCGACAGAATAAAAAAGCGGCAGATGGTAATTATTGCTAAAACACGAAAAGAAAATGCATTTTTCCATTTTATTTTTGTAACAAAAATTACAGAGGCAAGTACTAGCGAGAAAACGACAAAGCAGCTCTATAAAACAAATAAAAAAAGATTTCAAAAAAGCTTTGAAGATTAAAACTTTTTCTGTATCCGAATCGATTATACGGCCAGGCAGTAATGACCAGTAACAATTGTTTTAACGAAATGGTTTATTAAACTGATTTAACCAAAAACAAATTGAGTTGAAACATTATTCTAAGCAATTACCACCACAAAAATGCAATCTCGCAGACAAAAATGAAAAAACCAATTTTTTGAACTGCATATTAAAAACATAATCATTTTTCAGATTTAATACATGCTTGGGAAGGGCATTCTACGGTAGATCATTTAGGGGGGGGGGGGGGGGGGGAGATTTAACAGTTGATCTCAATTTGATAACGTCCGACGAAATTCATGTTCCGAATCCTTTTAAAGCTTGGATCTTTTGCTTAATTGAGAGCATTTATGATTTACTTTATCAATGTTTAAAAGCAAAAATTGGTTAAACCGATTTGGTTAAAAATGTTTTAATTCGTTAATGGTTAAAAAATCGGTTTTTACCAAGTTAACTGGACATCACTGCGACCAAGAGATTTAGAGTACCTGTCCTCGCATCTGCGCCACTCACCGCTGACAATTTACTAACACTAGCCACAAATAAGGCAGCTACATATGCTAATAAATTGCCAATGCGATGCAGCAATTACAAAGTGGCACCAAATACAAATAGTCGCAATTTTGCATGTAATAGTTTGGAATATGAAAACTGAGCATCCACACTGACTTTGCATTTAAAAAATTGAACAGCAAAAAACCAAACAAGACTGCTCGTATATCAGTAAAAAAAGCCCTGAATGTTCCGGCTGCACTTTAAGCTCAAAACAAGTTTGTAGATTGAATAATTGACGAAATAATCAAAAGAAAAAAAAACAATGTTTTTTGTTCAATTTTTTCTTCATTTTAACTCCCAATGCACTATTCATTTTAACTCCCAATGCACCCAAAAAATGAAGGGTATAAAAAGCGTCTAGCATTGTTTTAATGGAACGAAATTGCTGGCCTCAATTCAATTAGGAACGCATAATTGGCCGCTTGCGTGTGTTATAAAAACGCAATATATCGCCCGTTAATTATCCCAGATTGGCCAAATTAGCAATTTTTAAGCCCTGTTACGTTACAAAAAATCATCACAGGTGAAATATGGCTATGAATAAGGCTAGTTTAGAAACAAAAACATGCCGCGACAATCGAATGGGAAATTAGCATCGGAAGATAATTTACCAAGCGGTACAAATACCTTGGCAGCAACCATTTGAGCCGAAAGAAATCAACAAGATTTAAGACTTATGAAAAGTTCCCTCACACTCAAAAAATCTTAATTGCTCCTCAAATGAAACAATATGAGACAACTAAGCCGATTTAATGTTACCTAAAACCTACTAAGCCCAACAGAAAAAATAAAAACTGAGAAAAATTTAAGACTAATAAGAAGTTATCAAGCCCCCCTCGCCCTTAAAACACAGAGACGCACACACATACACTTTTATCGTAAGTCGAAGGACGCAATATGGGGCCGATAAGCTGACATAATTTAGGCCGAAACCTATTGAATCGAAAAATGGGAAAACAAAAAAGACTACAAAAAATTTTTGGCATGAATAATTTGAATTATAATTTCTATTAAGATGTTTAGCATTTCGTGCAATCCAGAGGTGAGCATAAAGAATATGTTTCCATTAAAGCAGCTCGAAAAAAAATCACTAAGCTGATAAAAAATAGGCCGAATAAAGTTTTTAATCGAAAAAAAAGAAAGATATACGATGTCAAGGTTAAAAATTGTAAACAAACAGCTGATGTAAATCAAAACACTTAAAACATAAAAACAAAGCGGGAACTAAGACGACAAAAGTGAACCGAAAGCAACGAAGTCAAAAATTGAAAAAAAATATATATACCAAAGAAATATCATTGAAAAAATTTGAACTGCGAATTTATTGAAAAAACACTAATAAGGATGCACAGTGAGGGTAATAGACCAATGAGCGCAAATAGAACACGCAAATACTGCATGCATGTCATGTACTGCATGCATGCTCAAAACTGTGGACAAAGTTGTTTAGGGGAAAAAAGTCTAGTACCCGATTGCAGTACCCGTGCTATCGCAAGGGTAAATATCACTCGAATGGTATTGTTGTCCTGAGCTCAACTTAAAAAGATATTTCACCTGTGAATATTTTTAATTAAATTGTGGGGGTTTAAAGACAGCTCATAGGCCAATTTGGGACATATATGTGCGATATTTTAAGGACAAATAGCAGGCCTCAATTCAATTGGAAACGCATTAATTTGCCGCTTACGCATGTTATAAGAACGCAATTTATTGCGCGTTAATTGTCCCTAATTGGCCAAAATAGCCATTCTGCCCCGTAACTTTACAAAAAACAATCACAAGTAATTTTTTTTTCAATTTGAGCTCAGGACAACAAAATCTTTTAGATGGTACAAAAAAAACTCCGTCAAAAACGCTGAAATAAATAATCAAAAATTGACGGAATGAAAAACAGTGTTAACGTATTACTAATCGAATTTCAAAGCACATGCTATAAAGCCGTAAAAGGGCCACAAATAGTGGCACCAATATTTACGACTTAGGTTGGAAAAAAGAATTGTCGAACTATTCCAATACGTTCGCTAAAGTTCGATAGTTTAAAAAAAGAAACCGACCAATCTTTTTTGTTGGAAAACGTATACAATTAACTTGTCCTAGATGCTAGGCAGAATCATAAATGTGGTCTTACGTGCATTCTCGTTGGTAATCGTTTTCTGTTGAGCTGCAATCATCTGGTCCAATTGCTTTGCATCCGGCAACGCCTGTTTTTGACTGGACATGTCATCCGAAATATCCGCAGTCTTCTTCACACTAGAAAAAAATTCGAACTGATGGAACTTATTTCTTCCTAACCAGCTAGTCGCGTTGAGCCAAATAAGATCTGGCAGCTGTAGAAAAACGTCTGCCATGCGTGTAAAACCATTGAATTTTATACTAACGTAAGCACGAAAGTACGAAACAGAAGCGCTTGCTCTTCAAGTTTTTTTTTTACAAAATCGGAATTTTAATTTTTTTTTTTCAAAATCGGAGTTTTTAATTTCTAATAGAATTTTCTTAATAATTAATAATCAGATAGTTCAATCTGAATGCTTTGTTTATTTATTTTTTTTTCTAATCGAGAGGAATCTCAATGGCAACTCAATGGGCCTTTTTTCTATCCACTCCAAGTTATCAAAATTGGCGATTAATTTTTATTGTTCACAGTTTTTGCTATTTTCTCCAGGAAAGAAATGTATAATCATAACTTTCGAGAAATTCTTTCGGATCTACTTAACAATCTCCCCCTTTCAAGAAAAAAGGGGGGGGGGGAATGTTAAGTAGATCAAAATGGTAGATTTTTCGACCAATCAGAATGCAGCAAAATTCGAACTCTCAATACAATCTCTAGAGCTAGCGTGCTAATTTACTGTATTTATAGGGGTTGAGATTTTTAAGTAGATACCATAGGGGTGGTGGGGGGTATGGTTGGGGGGGAGGGGGGTTGTTAAGTATATCCATTCTTTCTTCTTTCAAATTTTGTGACCTTTCAATACCTGAAGATGGAGGTCCCTACAGATGCTACCGATGAAACAGCGAGTGTTACGAAGCCCAGTAGTTTCAGAAGGGCTTTTTTGTCTACTGAGTTCTGAAGTGTCGAAATATCACTAGATGAATCCTCGTGAACTCGGCGACTAAAATGATCAAAGCATAATTTTGAAACTATCCCAGAAAATTGACCTGTAGAATTTAGGGACAGTCAACAAAAACCAGATATCAACAAGGATAGTCGGTTACTGTGCAAGTAGTACAGAATGTTCCGACCAGTCTTAAAAAACACAATTTTTCTTCTTCAAAATAGAGTAGTTTTTTCTGCGATAAAAAGATCTGAACAGAAAATTAGAACTTAGGCATATTCTACGGTCATAATAAAACAGGCCAATTGGAAAACTGTTTTTGTAGAAAATTGACCAGAAAAACGACAAACATTTTCAATTTTTTTTTGCAAAATTTTTTTTCCCGCAAAATGGCGCCAAAAACTCCACAAATTAACTTTACTCGAGTAAAACAAAGTCTTCACGGCTTAAATTAAGCATTTAAAAGCAATTTTAAGACTGAACGCTCACTTTATTAGCACAAAATTAGAACAAAAATCGAAAATTGTAAACCAGTTTTTCTCGACACTGGGACAACGTTTTTGTTATGAAAGTTTTTTAATGCCGTTCAAATGACGACTGCAAGGGCTTTAATACGATATATCACTCGACTTATTCCGATGATTAATTGAGGTAGCTGATTTAACATGAGAACAAAAAGAAAAAGTAAAACAAGGATACCCGGTTACTGTGCTAGTAGCACAGAATGTTCCGACCATAGATAGTCTTTAGAAAACTACGGTTTAGAAAGTTTTTTTTCCAATTGATGTAGTTTTTTATGCTTGGTGTGATAAAAAGATCTGACGTAAAAATATCATTTATGCATATTTGATAGTAATAGTAATATAAGCAAATTGGACCAAAATTTTTGTAGAAAAATGACAAGAAAAATAAAACTTAAAATTTTTTTTTCAAAAATTTTTGCAGAAAAATTTTGAATTTTTTGAAATTTTTGGTTCCCAAAACTAGTTTACAGGCTGAAAATTAAGTTTTAAGGTCTAAAATTAGGCAAAAATCAGCTTGTAAGCCTACACGCTCACGCCAATTTAGTTCGAAATTAGACCAAAAATAGAAAACTTCAAGCCGGTTTTTCTCGACAATGGGAAAATTTGTTAGACATTTTTTAAGATCGTTAGAATCACGACTGCAAGGGCTTCAATGTGATATATCACTCAACCCAGTCCGATAATTATTTGTGGTACCCAATTTTGCGTGGAAAACAAAAAGAAGAAAAAAACTAAAACACACCCGAATACAAATTTCCTCCCTATTTTCAAAGGTCGGAGCAAAAAAAAAGAAAAAACTAAAACACACCCGAATAGAAAGTTCCTCCAAATTGTGATTGGTCGCAACAAACGGAGCTCCAAAAAATCAGATAGACATAAAAAAATTTTTTTTCTAAAAATCATCAAAATTAAAATAAATTAAATGAAAATAAAGTTATTAATAAGGAAAAAACATTGAATTATTAATCAAATTTCGAATGATCGCAACAATAAGAATTCCAAATATTCAGATAGACATAATACAAATAATTCTAAAAATCATCAATATTTTAATAAATGAAATAAAAATAAAGTTATTAATATGAAAAAAAACATTAAGTTGTTAATCAAAGGTTACAGATCTACATCGCTTTGTTACAGATACACATCTACATCGCTTGGGAGAACACCGAGAGGCCAACATAGTCCTTTTTAGGTGTACATTTAGCTGAAAACCATAACGTATTTTAGTTCACCGGTCCGGTTCTGGAGGATGAATGCAATCTACAACCGTCGCAATTGCGAGATTATTCACGGCCTTGCTACTATGCTAATCATAGAAAGCATTGCAGTCTACTGAAACAAACTCAAAGCATCGACCTCAACTAGGTCTGTCAGCAAAGTTTCCGTTAAAAACAATTTAAAAATCGATGCCACTACGGAGGATGGTTCCATCATCAATGTACGAAACTGGAAAAGCCCCAATAGTGGAGTAAAAGTTTCTACTAAGAAAATTTTGACTACGGCCGATCAACTGCTAGACCATACTCAACTTCAAACCCGCCAGGGCCAATTGAAACTACCGAATCCAAAACATTTCAATTAAACGCTTATAGTCTAAGTAAAACAATCGATAGAATCACACAATAAATGACAACTAACAAGAATCAACATCAAAATAGTATGAACATCAAACTGCAAAACAGTATGAGCTGAATTCAAGAGAAAAAAAATCACCTGGATACCAAATAGAGGTCAAAAACCTGCTAAAATTGCATTAATCGATAAAGAAACTATTAATCTCCATATACTAAAATAGAGCAACAGCTAAGACGAACACCTCGAACAAATTGGAATCGAATTAAAATAGGAAAACACATATTAACCTAAAATAGAGCAACAGCTAAGACAAACATCTCAAACAAATTAGAATCGAATTAAAATCGGAAAACACATATTAACTTAAAAAATGTCTACGAATCCCCACAGTCTGGCTACGGACACAGATATGAAAACAAAAACGACTTCAGCGGTGAAAACTTAGGCCATGGATTCTATGAGTCGGACCTTATTGTTTCGAATGAAAGTAAATAAATCAGCATAACAGATGCAGAGCTCTCGTCATCTCCCAATAACAATCAAGGTAACTTGCGAATTAGATACGAGTGGAGAATCACACAAAAGAAACTTAATTAACCTTCGCAAAGCTGATTGGGTAAATTTTTGAGAAGAAACCGAGCAAATGAGCTTGGAAATCGAAGGCACAAACTGCTCGGGACCAAAAGTTATAACGAAAAATCATAATCGAAGCTGCTGCCTCCCGTCACATTTCTCAAGGACGCAAGCTCAAAATCAACCCACGTCTCTGCTTTCTAAAACCGTAAAAACTACAAAAGAAATAATTACTCCCAAAAGAAACACCCAGGACAACCATATTTATGTCCTCTAAAAACACTAGACTTAATCAAAATAAGGGGTGTAAAAATGAAAAATTTTTCTCAAAAAAGCTACCAAAAACCATCAAGCAAAGTTTGGTCCACCATTAAATTTCTGTCAGGACGAATCCACAAAGAAAACACCCAGCAAGACAATCTGATTAAATAACACCCTAAAATACGACGCAAAATTATAGACAAAATGTTTTCACGAGCAGTTCACTCCTCACTCAGAAAAAAACTGGCAAAAAACATAACTTTACGCAACAAAGAAGCCAATAAGGTATCTATATGTTACAGAGAGCCAATAAGATATCTATAAAAATAAACTCCTTAGGCCTAAACCAAAATTTTCTCATCCACTTATTTTATCGTGACCCAAATTCTACTGCCCAAACCAGTTGAAGAACTTGAGAATGTTAAAAACCATATTTAAAGAATCTGGAGATCCATTATCGCCTATCGCCAAAAAAGTTGAAACGATGAATTATGCTAAAATATACAATTATCCGACCACCACAGAGATTTTTGAAAACTCGCTCTACCGTGACTGCACTAAACTGCATCAATTATCAACTAACCAAACGACTGAATCATGAAAAATCAAGTCAAATAACCCATTTAATAGCACTATATCATTGCTACCTTTGATGCAGCAACCCATAGTTTCCTTCATAGCAAAAGGTCCAATTCAAACTTTACACCAACACTAAGCGATGGCTGTTATCCTAGATGCAAGGAAGCTTCACTTATCTTGAATTTAGAGACCAAAAACCTGACATGAAGAAAATTAAACAAGGCGTACCACAAGGTGGTGTTGTTTCGCCTAAACGCTTCAACTAATATATGGGCTTCAATCTTAAGCTACGCAAAATATTCAGCTAGTCACTTAAAATATGAAAAGAAGAACATGAGATCCGGTTAGCGCCCAATTGAGCTATACACCTGAGTGCTAACTAGGATAACAAATTCACACTTGAAACAAACACAATTAACAATTGCGGACGAATTCAGGCCAAAAACGCCATCTTGAAAAATATGCAAAGGCGGTTGCGAAAAAAAGACACTAGTCATTAATCAAAAAGTATTCAACGGTTGCATGATGAACTGCAACAGTGGCGTGATAAACTACACAGCGGTTATCTGCTCTCCAAGTTTAAGCAAAACCAACCGGTAAAAATTCTGTCAAACAAGACAATGTAATTACATCTATAGCTCGATGTGTTAAAATGACGAACATAGATTATATAAACAATGAAACCCACACTTCACTATTCAAGAGCCTAACGATATGCTTGCCAAACAATTCCACAGCGGAAGCTATTTTCCGGACTGCAAAAACCATGAAAGTTAGAAATTACAGAGCAGTCGATTACTGAGAGTGACATGGAAAACAAAATACGAGAGAACAAGCCTTAGTCAAGCCAACTGATTTAGTTATGAACGTATATTAATGTAGAATGGTCCTCGAAACACCTAAATAGTGAAATTATGAGAGATTGCACTATAAAATTTCAAGAACAAACAATAAATATAGGAGCACAAACAATATTAATGATAGGAGCACACTCACACATCTACGATCTAGATATTCACTTATCCTGAATAGTAACTAGTCGCAAAAACATGCATTGCTTGCGATCTAGAACCCAATGACGCGCAACATCTATCCAACTGTCCAGGCAGACCGAAAAAACTGAATACCTTTTTGTCTTGTCTTGTTCCGATTAACGCCCTGGGGCCTTGGGTTTGGAGATTCGGAGCTTGACGTCCTTTCCTAGTCAAATGTCTGGCTGAGTTGTTCGTCGTTTTCTGTCTTCCACATCCCGGGCAACTGACCTTCGGCCTTGGGCCCGTGAAGCAGTTCAGTTTGTGGTAATGCTGTTGTAGTTCCGGTTTCGACTTTTATCGGTCTTGAAGTGGTTTGTCAGAGGGCACTTTTCTGGAAAGCCCTTTTGGCATCCTGGGCATACAAAGCTCTTCCCCGCCTGGCGGAGGGTACAGTAGCATTTTTTATTTTCGAGATTTCCTTTGTTCCAAAAGCGGCACTTTTTTTCTTTCATGTCACGACATTTTTCCTCAAACTCGTACATTGCTTTCTTCAAAGCCTCTTCCTTCTATCGCCTGATTTATCCGATTGCAGTCGGCTACGCACCAACTGGTTTCATAAGAGTATATCTGCCCGACAGTGCGGCCTAGGCTAGAACCCAATGACGCGCAACATCTATCAGTGTTAAAACGACGTTTCATTACCCGACATTAGTGACATGCCCTACTTATCACTCGCGGGACCAATAATACTGGACTAGCGACTAGACAAAACTCAGAACAAAACCGAATAAACAAATCCATTATTGTCAAGAGTCCACGAGGTGCAACAACAATTTCTTAGATCTAATGGATCTTCTGATTGGTCAAATTTCTTAAAGTGACACTTTTTTCCTTTCTACTCGTCTTCTTTCCTTTTATAATTTCATTCCTCGATGCTTTCTACCCATACATTTGAAACCAACAGAAACAAACTTTTCAATTCAACAGAAAAAATCCTCAAAGCATGTACCATAACATACCAACCATGAAATATGGTTGTCCGAAATTCTTGATTGAAACTGTTCAACTGAAATTAAGCAGCCTCTAAAGAGAAAATTAAACGACATTCTTTTATTGAGGCTATGTTTTTGAACGACTATGTATATTCGATAGAATATTACATACGATAAACGCCCCAAAATTACTCTGCTTATTGATTACGCCTAACATGTTTCGGCTCTTTCCAACTTACTACAAATAACAATACTCGACAGCAAAATAACCACAAAATAATGGAAACAAAAATTATCGCCATTTCATTATTCAGGAGCTATATTTCCTGCGAAACTACAAAAGGAAAGAGCTCACGCTTTTAGCTAATTCGAACCTAGTTATGATGAACTAGAGATCACAGCTACTGAAAGAAAGGCCGAAGCGCCAAAAATATTTATTTGAACTAATCGATTAACTACTCGAAATTGCATTGAAATTGTAAATACAACAAACGTCTTCGCATATTTTTTGTGCATCCTCAGGCTACGAAAAGCTAAATTAATATGTACAGATTAATTAGACACCATAAAACGCGTCTAACACATCTTTTACACAAAAATTTTACGCAGAGGTTTCGCGGAGCTTCACATCATTTGCGAGACAACGCATGATGAAGCATACGTCGAAAGACATTAAAAGTTTAAAAAAAAACGTCTAACAAAACTTAATATTTTCATAAGTCTCGGTAGAAGTTCATTCAAGGCAATGTGCCAGACATTCGAAAACTTGAGTAGCAACAGAAGAAAACAAAGCCGAAAATCTTGCAGCAGACACAAGTATTATATAAAAAAAAGATTTTTATCGAAAAGTTTTATCTAAAAAAGATTTTATAAAACAAATATTTTAAGTTCTTAGTCCCTCCTAAGGAACAACACATGAACTTTTAACTTTGAGGAAAGTTTTTACAGAACAAGAAAAACCCGTGATAAGACATTTAAAGCGACAGCCTTTGAGCAGACACAAGTTAGGCCGAACAAAGTCGATTTAATGAAAAAATTTCAAAATCCTCCTAAAAATAACATTGAAAAATAATTGCACTAGCAACTACAATAAAAATTGCTTACAGCATAAGCGAATTTCGTGATGTGGCAACTAAGCCGACAAATTTTGAGCAGACAAACGAAAGTTCGACAATTCAAATCTAACCGGTAAAAAAATTGTCACGGGAGAAAAATTTGGAAAAGAAATTATCATAAAAAAATGAGCAATAAAATTGTTTAATTTTCACTTCTTAATCTTCAACCGTCCTGAATAATTCAAAAAAAAATAAACAATATTTGCCGTTAAGCCGATGCAAAATAGTTTCACTAAACCGACAAAACATAAGCCAAAATCATTTCGGTAGAATAAAATTTCTAAGCGTAAAAAAGATAAATTTCATTTGTTACCAACATTGATTTAAAAAAAATACGCAACCTTTTTTGGATTCAGCCGCAAAGTTTGATATCCTTTTGTAAACTTTGAGAATTTTAACACGTTGGAGAAACCTACTTTTACAAAGTCATAACTGACTATTCAAATGTTCAATCCGCATTTTTATTCGAGACAATGGTTAATCACAACTAAGATTTTAAAAATACCATAAGGCATATACGGCAAAAACACAGAGACACTTAATGCTCTTCTATTGTTTCATACCATTTTTAAGCACATTAACATCAATTTTGCAGACATTGGTTTTACGAATTGGTACATGAGCACAAAAAATGTTTGTTTCGCGTAATCCAGCCACATACTAACATTCATAGCAATTCTATTACGTGGATACAACTTTGAAATACAGAACAGAGAAAAATCGGTAAAACGGCAGAAGAACCAAATGTGAACTTCCCCAATTGCTTTATTTTTTTGAAACTATATTACTTACCTGCGATTTCTGTTTGATGTCTCAGCCATAATTTGTTAAAAATTATTATTTTTAATATTTGCAAAGGCTGCCTGTGTACAGTTAAAATGGTATATCACCGAAAATGACCGAAAACTAAAAAATGGTATGAACGCTTTTTTCTCGCTAAACTATTTCTCAGAAATGTATCATTTTATCTTTATTGAAGAAAGAAAGAGTAAATTAAACATCCAATAAATGGACAAATGTGTAATAAAATTTTATCTTTATTCATCATGCAATATGTATGAGACAGACATGCTTCTGTAGTTTAAAAGATACGAAAAACTATATTCAAAAATAGAAATTAAACTCTTTCCTAAGTAAAACAATAAAATGTAAAACGCACGTGCAATATAGTTAATGTTTTTGCCTTCTGATTTCTTCATTTTGAACGAAAAAAATCTAATTTTTTTTTCAAGTAAATCTCTGGGTGAAGGCTCTTTTGCCCCCACTGAGTAAAACCAAGTCATTAGTCAACAACAACTGACGGAGTCTCAGCTACCAATTACTCATGAAGTGCTGATTGAAACGGAGACAAAATTCAGAAATGCGCTAACAGCAAACAAATCGACAACAGAAACAAAACAAATCCAAATAATCAAAATAATCCCCCCATTCTCGAGAGAAAATGTAAAGTCAGCTGAAAATCTGTCGCAGGCTTATCGGAGTTGTGCTTCCGATATACTTAAACAATTCCCCACAACAATGCAACAGAAGATGACAATCTCAAAAACAATAACTGATGACCGCAAACTTCGTACACTGACAGTAATTGCTCCCCCCGAAGCAGAGCAACTCATAACTAGCATCAAAAGCGAAGGAATCATTCTACTTAACAGGACGGTATTTCCCATGGGATGCTTTCCAAGGTCTCATAGACCCAAGAACATTTACCCTAAACTAGCCAAAATCAAATTGTCGAACTTGCCTTATGTTTGCCAGAAGACATAATTTTCCCATATTCCCATATTCCAACATGAGACTTGTATCGTAACTGAACCGGGTCAGTATATTTACACAGGAAGAGCCATTTTAGAAGTTAAAATTCAAAACGAAGAACAAGAGAAAAAGCTGACGGACTGGTCTTACAAATCGAGAATGGATGGCTTCAAAATGTGAGAAGGTGTAGAAATCTCGTTTCAGATACCTTCACTACATGAATGTCAAAAATGCAAGATGTCTGGACGCCAAGAAAAAGGTCATCACGATGATTGGTGCAACATAGGAAACCAAATAACCAATAATCCAAATAATCAGTACCCACAAAAACCAAGCTCCAATAATGCCAGCGACGAGAAAAATGATGACGAAACAACAAGCGATAAGTTTTGTAATGGTACCGAAAATGAAGAAGATAAGAATGTCGAAACACCACCATCTAGAGTTGTGCCAGTCGGTCATATCTGGAAGTTTGACCTTGAGGGACACGAAAATACGTAATTTTGGAGTGAAGTTTTAATTTTCAAAATTTCGAATGGAGCCTGTCATGCTCAGTTTTCTCGCACCAACTGAAAACACAAAGTGAAAAATCAGAACGACCGAATTTACAATTGCGGGAAAATACTTCAGAAAACAGCAGGAAATTGCTATTCGCAATTTCCAGATACAAAATAAGACACGAGTAGAGCTGTCTTATCCCGAAATAGGAGGAGAGATAATAAAAAGAAGAGAGAACAACTATTCGAAACGAACCAGAGTGAACCTTCAATGGAAAGGTGGACAGCTTGAGTGTCCCAATGGTTCTTACAAAAACTCCAATTCTTGAGTCAGAACTTACTTCTGTTATCAAAACTGATTAGTATTGAACTTATCTAGTTATATTATCTAATTCTCGAGTTGCTTATCAAATTAATTACTCCATGTACTCGAGTGCATCAACATGTGAGTCCCTAATTTAATTTTCTCGAGTGTGTTTTATGATTGTTATGTTGAGATAAGGCGAGTTTTAGGTTGATCCATCTGAAATGGATCAAAGTTCCACTGTCCAATAAAAAGTAACTTAACGGATTGTTCCGACCATGTTTTTAACGGCGTTCGTGTATTTTGGGTATTTCGAGACCTAAGTATGGGGACGTTCTTATTTTCTAGAGTGGGGGGAGATTTTGGTAGTAGCCTTTAAGCTGTAACGGGTTCTATTCTCATGTCGCAAGCGAACCGAATTGGCTCCGACCGTTTTGAGGTAGAAAAACACAAGAGATAGTGTCCCTGACTCTTGAGCCAATGGTTATAGGGCCTATTTTTCTTAATCCTCATATGTGACCGAAGTAGGCGACTGTTACATAGTGTTTTTATGGCGCTCCTGGGTGTTTTTACGACATCATGACTACGGAGTCGAACCCACTTGACTTAGCTCCGAGCTGCATGCCCATTCTAGAGTACCGGTGGTACGGTTCAGGGGGAACGTGTAAACCTTCCGGTTGTATCGTGATAGCTTTTTAAGAAAACTTGAGAAAACTTCCTGGTACGCTCTCCGAACGAGGCCTAGCTAACCGAGTAAAGGGGGGTAGCTAGGGAAACAAAAACAAGAAAAAAGTATAGAAAAAGGAACAAAAACCATAAAACGAAAAGACAGTGACTATGATACCGGATCATTTGGATCAAACCTTTATATTAATTAAATAGTATACCCATACTGTTTTATAAGACCGATCGTTTCGATCAATCTAGCAATTTAAACCAGTGACTTCAATAAGGTGCCCGAGTGGGGGGCGTTGTTAAGGGTTTTCAGATAGATTGCAACCTAGCCGGACCACTAGGAGACTTGACTGGAAGGGGTGACCAGCCGAGTGGGAAAGTGGTTCACAAGGATCGAACCGGACCACTAGGAGACTTGACTGGAAGAGGTGACCAGCCGAGTGGGAAAGTGGTTCAGAAGTACTGAGCTGAACCCACTATAAACTTGACTGGAAGAGGTGACCAGCCAAGTGGGAAAGTGGTGCTGCTGTCAAGTGCAGAACAGAGACAACCAGCACAGGATCACTACAAGAGGACGCACAGGGGTGTTCTCAAGTTGGGCAACGGGTATCGTTAGAATCCACATTACGTTATAGGAGATAAGTGTAAAATTGGATAAGCGGAGCCCCATTGTTTTGAGGAAGTTTTTACACAAGCAGGCCTGGAAACAAGTCTACGGTTTTCTCTCGAGAGGTTTAGCACCCGGCGCTTAAGGGATTTTTTGGCTTAAAAGGGGGGCTAAAGAGGGGGAGGTTAGCAGGGGGGCTGGTTAGGTTAGAGGTTAGCGGTTGTAAATTGTAAAAAGGGGGGACACGTTAGAGTAACTAATTGTTCGGCATCGTCGATTTAGTTACATTAGATATTTACACGCGTTGGTTATAAGAAGCGGATATCCAAAATTAAAATCAAGTTAAGGTAGGTACCCTGGTCGGATCGGTAGGGGGGAATGGACATAGACAGTTTTTGTGATACCCCATAAGATCGCTAGCAGGGGGGAGGAAAACGCGTGGCAATCGGGTACCAGACATTTTTTTCGGACAAAGATTGACATCGGTCAACCTTGAGTTTCAGGAGAATTCATCCATCTGTTTTTGAAATTTTTCCAGTTTAAATTTTTATGTTTTGGTGAAAATTTGTTGTTGGTATTTTAACGAACAGGTGATCACAAGATACCTGCGGGGAATTTAGGGTTTCAAATAGCCTGAAACATACAGAGGGAGACAAATACAGGGGGATTAGTATTTGGGTTTTGACCATTAAGATAGGGATTTTGGGAAAATTTTTTGCTAGAGCTCAAGTGGTGGTAAAAAGGTACAGTGGTTTAATAGTCCCTACAACGAAGAAGAAGAGATCCGATATCCAAACACTCAGTGACAAGTCTTGGGACAGTACCGAAGAAGTCTTGGGACATTGCAGTCTGGGGACAGTCTTGGAGCAACACGGTCTTGGGACAGTCTCGGGACAGAGCAGTCTTGGGACAGTCTTGGGACAGTGCAGCCTTGGGACAGTCTTGGACCAGAGCAGTCTTGGTACGAAACAGTCTTGGGACAGTGGTCTTGGGACATTGGTCTTGGGAAAGTGGTCTTGGGACATTGGTCTTGGGACATTGGTCTTGGGACAGTGGTCTTGGGACATTGGTCTTGGGACAGTGGTCTTGGGACATTGGTCTTGGGACATTGGTCTTGGGACAGTGGTCTTGGGACATTGATCTTGGGACAGTGGCCTTGGGACACTAGTCTTGGGACAGTAGTCTTGGGACACTAGTCTTGGGACAGTAGTCTTGGGACAGTAGTCTTGGGACAGTAGTCTTGGGACAGTAGTCTTGGGACAGTAGCCTTGGGACATTAGTCTTGGGACAGTGGTCTTGGGACACTAACAAGAAGTACTGGGACAACTCTGAATAGTCTTGGGACAGAAGGGAGAAAGTCTTGGAACAGCATAAAGAAGGGGGGTACTAAAAGAATACTAAGTCAGGTTGAAGTAAACAATTGCAAAATCAAATTTTCTAACCAATCCTAACACATAGAAATTTCATAAGTTCAGGGAAAGTTGTTTTTAGCAAAATGAATATTTCTTCTTATAAAATTTTATCAAAAGAGGTTTTAACCTTAGAGTAGAATTTTGTAGATAGTAACACTGTACATAGTGACAATTGTAAATAATGAGGCGGAGCAGGGTACCGGTAGCTGAAAAAAGATCTACCGAGGCGAAGACGAAGTATAACTCGTCGCTACGTAAAACAACATCAATGGGTCCGAAGGTAACAAAGAAGAACTTTTCAGTTAGTATGGTCAACACGAGGAGTACAACGGAGGACAGAGCAAAAGAGGGCACGGAAGGGGAACGAGTAGAACCCACCATCGAGATTGATCTAGAGACACCGGATCAAAGTGTGGATGAAGTAGGAAAGAAAACGACAGAGTCAACTCCAATGCCCAATGCGGAAGAACCTAACCCGAATTTTATAGAGTTCTCACCGATAGACAACGTGGAAGACACAATAGGCAACACGCCAGAAACAGTGAAGGATGAGTCTCAAAAGAGAACGTCTTTTACTGAAAGATTAGCGATGATGGTCGGAATGAGATCGAAGGACGCAGCAGTGGAGGAGACGAAAGTCGAGAAAAGCAAAACATTCGGAACAGTATCCACGAGAACGACAGAGACC